ACCGGTGCACATTGATTTTTTCAATTGAAGTGCCCCCCCGGGGCTCGCACTTTGTTTTTTGTCAAGGAAAGTCTTCCTGCTCAAACTGGCCCCCTGGCCCCCTGGTTACAACAACAACGGCTCCCGCCTGAGACTTCCTCATAATTTAGCCAGGACCCCCGCTCCCGCCCAAGACTTCCTCGCATTTGATTCAAGAATCGCGCTCTCGCTTCGGACTTTCTTACGATTTATTCAGGAATCGCTCCTCCTGCACTCTGGAGTTGCGCTCTCGCTGGAGACTTGCTTGCAATTTACTGACGGATAGCGCCCTTGCGTTGGAATTTCTTGCAATTTACTCCAGCGCCGCGCTCCCGACACCCAGGCACCCAGGAGTCGCGCTCACGCTTAGGACTCCTTCACAGATTACCTAGGAATCGGGATCTCGCTGCCCTTCGTGGCCCCGTTGCAGCCCTTCGTGGCCCCCTCGCTTTGTTTCGTGGCCCCGTTGCAGCCCCGTTTCGTGGCCCCCTCGCTTTGTTTCGTGGCCCCGTTGCAGCCCTTCGTGGCCCCCTCGCTGCCCTTCGTGGCCCCGTTGCAGCCCTTCGTGGCCCCGTTGCAGCCCTTCGTGGCCCCCTCGCTGCCCTTCGTGGCCCCGTTGCAGCCCTTCGTGGCCCCCTCGCTTTGTTTCGTGGCCCCATATACGTATACCCTTCGTGGCCCCCGCTCGTTCGCGTCCGTGGTGGCCCCAAATGCATGCCCTTCGTGGCCCCGCTGTCGCCCTTCGTGGCCCCCTCGTGCCCTTGGTGTCCCCGTTGCTGCCCTCAGTGGCCCCGTCCGTACCCTCCGCGGCCCAACATACGTATGCCTTTCGTGGCCCCCGTTCGTTCGTGCCCGGTGTGGCCCCATGTGCATGCCCTTCGTGGCCCCGCTGTCGCCGTTTGTGGCCCCCTCATTGTCCTACGTGGCCCAGGTGCTACCCTCAGTGGCCCCATCGTTGCCTTCTGTGGCCCCGCATTTTCTGCCCTTCGTGGCCCCCGCTCGTTCGCGCTCTTCGTGGCCCCATACGCATTCCCTTCGTGTCCCCGCTGTCGCCCTTCGTGGCCTACTTCGTGACCTTCGTGGCTCTGCTCTCGTTCTCTCTCGCTCTCGCTTTCCCTCGTCGTCGTCGGCGTCGCCGTCGCCGTCGTTGCCGTCGTCGTCGACGTCGTCGTCGTCGTCGTCGTCGTCGTGGTCGGTCCCCTGTCCGTCCCTCTTGGGGTCGGGTCGACGGTCCGCGGCCGCCCCGCCGATCAGCGCTGCCGCTGGCCAGGCCGACGGTCCGCGGCCGCCCTGCCGCTTGCCGGGGCCCAGCCTGCAGGGAAGAAAGGTATACCCCCCAAAAGGGGTTCGATCGAAGACGAGAAGGGCGGGTATCGAGGGTTTGGGAAATACGCGTTATTGGACACTCGAGCAGATAAGGGCGAACAGTCTTAAAATGATTGTTGTTGTTGTCGTTGCTGCTGCTGTTGTTGTTGTTGTCGTTGCTGCTGCTGCTGTTGTTGTTGTTGTTGTTGTTGTTGTTGCTGTTGTTGTTGTTGTTGTTGTTGTTGTTGTTGTTGTTGTTGTTGTTGTTTGTTGTTGTTGTTGTTGTTTGTTGTCGTCGTCCCACCCACGACCCACCCGCGCCCCACCCTTCGACCCACCCCGCGACCCACCCCGCGACCCACCCCGCGATCCACCCCGCGACCCACCCCGCGACCCAACCCGCGACCCACCCCGCGACCCATCCGCGACCCACCCCGCGATCCATCCGCGACCCATCCGCGACCCACCCGCGACCCACCCCGCGACCCACCCGCGACCCACCCTCAAGGGAAGAAAACCACCCGGACCCGACAATTTACTTTTACTAAAACGGCTCTGGGCGTTCACTAAACAGCCCTGCCCTGTTCGATTCCTTCATTGTGTGCGTTTACTAAGTGTCGGGGTGATTCTTATGGGGTGGATTTTCTGCCCTCTACACCCGCGACCCAACAGCGACCCACCCGCGACCCACCCCGCGACCCACCCGCGACCTACCCGCATTTGTTTAACGAAAAAATCGGCGCCTGCGGCGGAGTCGTTGTATAGTTTGTGAAACTTTGGCGCCTGCGGCGGGCTTCTCCAGAGTCTCGCAATCTGCCGACGGCCCCACCGCCCCCTCACTCTTATCCGCATCTGCGGTATGCTACGTAGCTTACACCACATAACGCCACATAGCTTACATAGCTTGCACCATATAGCTCGCACCACATAGCTTACACATCCGTAGTGCAATCATCTACTGTTCGGAGTCCGCGCTGGCAAGCATTCATGTTTATGCAGTTCTGTCCTTCTCTGCGGCGGTCGGCAACGCCCGACTCTCTCTGGGGCTCTTAGCTTGGCTCGCGCTCCCACGCGGGGTGGTCGATCTGCTTTGAGAGTATCTCGCCTTGCCGTCAATTTTTGCACCCCATGGGCGCGCTGGCGGAAAATCGTGTGCGTGGATGGGTGGGTGGGCGTCCGTGCGGCGCCGCGTGGTGCTCTGGCGCCAGGGGGGTGGGTTGGCGCCGTCGGCAGAGGTTGGCCGGGCCTCTGATCCCGGTTTTTTTGTTCGGACGGAAGTG